GAATTTGGGGTTCAATTTTGATTCTTGAAAGAGCATCCGCGTTTCTATTTAATGTTCCTTTTTTATTAATAACTTCATAACTGTACTCTTCAAGCTTTAAACGCCATCTAATTAGTCTAATACTAAATAACCACGTAAGTGGGCGGTGATCGGTTATAATTTTGAAGTGTTTTCCATACAAATATGGGCGAAAATGTTTTGTAGCCCATACGATGGCAAGCAGCTCTCTTTCTATCGTAGAATATCTTGTTTCTGCCGAATTAAGTGTTCTACTGGCATACGCCACAGGCAAGTCTTTACCTATAGGGCCTTGTGAAAGGGCAGCTCCAATAGCGTATTGAGAGGCATCTGTTGTCAAAATAAACTTAAATAAAATTGTGTATCTTTTTTTAATAAAACGGTCAAGGGCTTCGCGATTTTAGCATAATTAGGAATGAATTTACGATAATAACCGCTCAGTCCCAAAAATGATTTGGTGTCTTGCGGTTTTGGGCAGTGGAAAGTTGGAAATAGCTTGTATTTTCTGCGGATTTGGTTTTATTCCATCCCTAGACACAATATGTCCTAAAAATTCCGTTTCTTTTTTGAGGAACTCACTTTTATCAATCTGTATTTTTAAATTAAATTCTCTCAGACGTTTGAAAACATTTCTTAAGCGGTTGTTATGATCTTCTAATGAATTTCCATATATAACGATATCGTCCAAATATACTAAACACTGTTTGGGAGTGAGACCTGTCAATACCGAATTCATTGCCCTTTGGAACGTTGAGGGAGCATTAATCAGGCCAAAATCGTATTCTTAGAAATTCATAATGTCCCTCGCTAGGGGAAAAAGCAGTTTTTGATATTGAACTTGGATGTATTTCGACCTGGTGAAAACCACTGGCAAGATCTAGAGTAGAAAAGTATTGCGCGTGTCCTAAATTGTCAAAAATTTCGTCTATATTTGGGATAGGAAACTTATCCGGAATAGTAATTTTGTTCAAATTTTGATAGTCAATTACGATGCGCCATTTCTTTTTCCAGAGGCATCTGTCGTCTTAGGCACTATCCAAATTGGACTTGAATAAGGTGAATGACTTGGTCTAATGTTTTTTTGTTTTAAAAGTTTCAGAATTTGGGAATTTACTTCATCTTTATGACATTATGGATATCTGTAGGTTTTTGAAGTTACCGGATTTTCATGTTCAGTTTTTATCTCATGTTTAATAATAGATGTAAAAGTGAGTTCATCTCCTTCGAGATAAAATATATCAGCGAACTGGTGACAAATATCTAATAGGGAATTTCTCTCTTCTTCGTTTAAATGGTTTACACGAAGATTTGCATCTAATTTACTTATGCGATTGTTATTACGATAATTTTGATAGCTTGCGATGTGTGCTAATTTGTTTGGCAATTTTTGAAGTATTACATTATTAATTTGGACTGTTTGTTCCTTATTAGAAAGATTAATAAGACTTGTACGAATAACTCTATTGCTATCTACCTTAACTAAGCATTCAGGGATTAATATTGTATCGCTTATATTTTGCTTTGGAAGCATGCCTTCCGTAAAAGGTTCATAATTAGTCTTTATTTCAACAAATTTTTCGCAACGCTGTGGAATAATTACGGTATTTATTACTTTGATTTCTTTTTTTATTTGTAAAGGGATTGGTGCATAGTTACCATGGAATTCAATTTGATTGGATTTTAAATTAACAGCACATTGTAAATCTTGTAAAAAGTTAATGCCTAAAATGCCGTCAAAATTAATGTCAATATCTGCTACATGAAACTTAACTGTGCTCCCTCGAAAATCGGTTTTTATACTACCTAAAGTTTCAAAAAATTTGGAATTAATTCCTGATACTTTTATTTTGTCGTTCCTGTCAATTTTATCTAAGAACGTTTCATGTGGTTTCAATAAATTCACGGCAGCTCCTGTATCAATAAGTAAAGTAACTGGTTGGTTCTTTATTTTTGTTTTAATAAAAGGTAATGTTTCTATAAGAGTTTTAATTTTGTTGGTGGAAAAGCTGCTTAAATTTTGAAATGAATTATTTTCGGGGTCTGAATCACTCAATTGAACAAACAATCCCCGTCTTGTTCGTTCTCCGATAAGTTTAAAGGTTTAGTCTGTTCGGGATATTCATTTTCGTGTTCGGATTCAGAATCGGTTTCTTTCTCAACTGCTTCTAGCGACTGAATTTTAGGTTTTGAAAACCCCTTAAATGGTGTACCAGAAAAACTATGCTTTTGGTTAAAAGAGTTTGGCTTAAAATTAGAGGTACTTGGCTTAGGAGTACTTTCGGCGGAAGACTGCATGTTAGTTTTAAATTTATGGTAATTTGAATATTGTTTAGGAGAAATTTTGTCTATTTTAACCTTCTGATTTTTATATTCCAAAAATTTTTGTCTTTCCTGTCTTTCTTTCATTTGTTTATCTATTTCATTCGCTAAACTAAAAGCTTTTTCTAATGTTACAGGTTTTGATGGTAAAACTGCTATCTCTAACTCATGATTTATGTTCATTAAAAATACAGTTTTGGCTAATTTATTAATAAATTCTGTAACAGCGACAATTTCTTCTTCTGTTTCGTAGTCTTCTGTTGCAGAAACTACCAAGTTGTCTCTAATCAGTGAAATTTTATTGTAAATGTCTTTAACGCTGCTGTTTACTTTGGGTCTATAACGAAATAGATCTCCTACTAAACTTTCAGTACTTTTTTCTAAACCAAAATTATTTTCAAGGTGGCGTTTAATATCTGGCCATTCATCTACTCTTTTAGAAAGAATAATTTTGCCTGCCCTACCAGTTAATTTTGTTAAAGTCAGTCTAACGAAATACTGAGTATCGCCAGCACCGCAATTAATAAAAACAAAATCTACATTTTCAATAAACTGATGGAGAGGTATGTTATCACCATCAAACGTAGGAATAAGCTCTGCCAATTCCCTTCTTGAAAAGTTTCTTTCCTCGTTTGAGGTCATGTTTCTCAAGTTTTCAAGTATAGAATTTATGTAATTTTAAAAAAAGTAAAGGTATTTGTAAACCTGTACAGTTTGGTAAATTGGTTAATTAAAGGATCACCAACCTTGCCAATAAGATGCTTGCTATGTAGAGGTGCAAGTTCATGGGTCCTGAGCAGCAGGGCGAACAGGCGGAAATCCAATTTTTGATTTTCCCTTAGTCGGAATGTCTCCTGAAGGCGAAACTGCGAAAGGTTTCTATGGACAACACGATGTTCCACTTCTCCAATGAGTTCCCAATGTTAAAACAGTTTTCTTCGAGAAAAAGGGTTCACCACTATATTCCCGAAAAAGTTCACAAATCTGTTCGAGAAAAGTTCACCACTAAATTCCCGAAAATATTCACTGATCGCCTTTTTTGAAATTACGGAAAAGACGATCCTACTGACTGCGCCAACTGATACGATAAAAGTTCCAACAAAAGAGTTTTTAAAAAGAACTTTATTTTACAATTACAAGATAATGATTATCAGGCCTAGTCTGAAGCTAGAATGATTTGAGTTTTCATAAAAGAATATAATATTGATAATTTGTCTACTAAGCATTTCTAAATTAAATAATAACCAGCTGCAGGTATGGGAAAATAGTGTCCTTGAAAAGAGTCGTCATATTTAGCATGTAACACCTCCCCTTTGAGATGGAAAGTTAATCTTGCAATTAATTTTCCAAGGGTGTCGGAGTCTTGTACTGTCTTCTAGATGTAATGACCGGTGAGGTTCGGGGTGAAACCTCCCTTATATAGCTTGTTGGGTTAGAAGTNGTTCTGGGGTAATTATTGTAGGATGTAAAACATTAGTCCTGGCAAACAATACGGCATCGATTAGAGTGGAATATTCGCTATTTAATTCGTTTCTTAAAAGTTTTAATATGCTTAAATGTTCTTCGATATCTTGTTTTAATTCTAAGTTAAAATGATTTTCTCTTAAAGTTTGGGTGTGATTGTAAAGTTTCTTGAAATTTTCTTGGAATATTTTCTCGTTTGATTCAAGATTAGTTATTGTGCTATTGAAATTTATGATAGTTGTTTTTACAACTTGGGTCTGCTCTTTAATTAAATTAACAAATTGTTTTTCATCTTTTTCGATATTTTGAATTGCCTCATCATAATAATCTGCGTCTTCCTGATCTAATGTCCCAAATACAGTTTTAAAAACAGTACCAACTGCACTAAACCAAGCTCTTTTTACTCTGATATTTGTGTTTTGATTTAATAATTCATGCAATGATAAATCTTTAGATTTTAATAAAGGAAACTTTTGATCGATTACTTTTAGAGCTACATTACATAAAGAATTTTTGGAAAAAATACCGTGTTAACATAACGACTTTGTTTTAGAATACGTATTTTCTATCATTACTAATTTATTTTGTAATATATCCAAACAAAATGTCCCTACTATGAACAGTCTGANTTGAATTTCGGGTTCAATTTTGATTCTAGAAAGAGCATAATGTTCCTTTTTTTATAAATGACTTCATAACTGTATTCTTCAAGCTTTAAACGCCATCTAATTAGTCTGGAGCCCGGATCTTTAATACTAAACAATCACGTACGTGGACGGTGATCGGTATAATTATAATTTTAAAGTGTTTTTCATACAAATATGGCCGAAAAAGTTTTGTAGCCCATGCGACTAGTTTCTGCCGAATTAAGTGTTAGACTGGCATACGCCACAGGCAAGTCTTTACCTATAGGACCTTGTGAAAGGACTGCTCCAGTAGCGTATTGCGAGGCGTCCGTTCTTTGAATTGAGGATATTGCAATACAGGGGATTGAGCCAAGTAGTTTTTGAGTTCTGTAAATGAATTTTGACATTGGTCTGTCCAAAGGAATTGTGTATCTTTTTTTAATAGAATCGTCAAGGGCTTCGCGATCTTAGCATAATTAGGAATGAATTTACGATAATAACCGCTCAGTCCCAAAAATGATTCGATGTCTTTTGCGGTTTTGGGCACTGGAAAGTTGGAAATAGCTTGTATTTTCTGCGGATTTGGTTTTATTCCATCCCTAAACACGATATGTCCTAAAAATTCGTTTCTTTTTTGAGGAACTCACTTTTATCAATCTAAATTTTTAAATTAAATTCTATCAGACGTTTGAAAACATTTCTTAAGCGGTTGTTATGATCTTCTAATGAATTTCCATATTTAACGATATCTTCCAAACATACTAAACACTGTTTGAGAGTGAGACCTGTCAATACCGAATTCATTGCCCTTTGAAACGTTGAGGGAGCATTGATCAGGCCAAAATGGCCTTCTTAGAAATTCATAATGTCCCTCGCTAGTAGAAAAAAAAGTTTTTGATATCGAATTTGGATGTATTCCAACCTGGTGAAAACCACTGGCAAGATCTAGAGTAGAAAAATATTGCGCGTGTCGTAAATTGTCAAAAATTTCGTCTATATTTGGAATGGGAAACTTATAAGGAATAGTAAATTTGTTCAAACGATAGTCAATTACGAAGCGCCATTTTTGTTTTTCCAGAGGCATCTGTTTTCTCAGGCACTATCCAAATTGGACTTGAATAAGGTGAATGACTTGGTCTAATGATTTTTTGTTTTGAAAGTTTTTCAATTTGGAAATTTACTTCATCTTTATGACATTGTGGATATCTGTAGGTTTTTGTTCGAGAAATGCACCATTAAATTCCCGAAAATATTCACTGATCGGCTTTTTTGAAATTACGGAAAAGACGATCCTCCTGACTGCGCCAACTAATACGATAAAAGTTACAACAAAAGAGTTTTTAAAAAGAACTTTATCTTAAAAGTACAAGATAATAATTATCAGGCCTAGTCTGAAGCTAGAATGATTTAAGTTTTCATAAAAGAATATAATATTGATAATATGACTACTAAGCAGTTCCAAGTTAAAAGATAACTAGTTATAAGTATGAGAAAATAGTGTCCTTGAAAAGAGTTACCACTCCATTTTAGGAAAATAGCAAATAAATATGCATTCATATTAATTTTTGACAATTTCAGTGTGTCATGCAGAAATGATTGCCATCTGCAACAAGAATTCGGCGGATGTTAAGGACTCTACGATGTATGTTACCTTGTTTCCGTGCAATGAATGCGCCAAATTGATAGTTGAAAATGGAATAAAGGAAGTTGTGTACAGATCATATAAAGACAAACCATCAACAGATGCTTCAAAACTGATATTTGATGCAGCAGGAGTTAAATATAGGTAATACTTATAGCACATCCAATACACATATTAGAAATGCTATTATTACCGTAACTCCAGTATGCTGTATTTAAGTTTTTTCAGAAAAATTTAACTGAAACAGCCGAGAATTGTTGTTTGGGCGTATAGGCAGTGGACTTCTGGAGGTTATTACCAATGAAAATTCACTGCTGTACAACCTTAATTAAAAAGCTGTACCACTTATTAAAAAACGAATAAACAGGACAGTGGGTTTAAATATTTTATTTACACTATTTACAAAATCGTGGTTCAAATGTGTGCGTAGATATATGAAAAAACTGTAGAAAAACTCTTGAAAACTCTGGTTAGTAACTATATTTTTTGACTATTTATTAAATTTTAAATTAAAGTGGGGTTGTAATAGAGGGTGGTGATTTTTGAATTTAGCGCCTATCATTGGTGAAGAGGAGTGGTAAGGATGTTGATAAAGGGAAGGAGGTATTGAGAGGGCAGGGGTAGAACAAGTAATGCACAAGGCTAATGACACTGCCTGACGAAATTTCCAAATCTACCGATTCCGACTAAATACCTACAATCGCTATTGTAAACCTTTACAAAATAGAATTCAACCATAAAATTGAAATGAACTGTATTCCCAAATGATCGGATCATAAAGTAAACAATTAGAATATATCCAGATGTGTCGAGAATAGATAGTATAAATATTTAAATGGTTTTATGACGAGCAGTTTAAGATCTTTAGAAATGTAAATAATAACAGAATATTGCACCCCATTTCTTAGACCTAAATACAATACGACTTTTTACATGACCTGAACTATTGAACGTCGGCAAATACTTTATGAATGTTAACATA